ATATATATAACTCAAAGGTGACGGACGTAGTGATCTATCAACGCACAGCCCAAACCACTGGACGGATCGGGCTGAAATTTGGCATGCTGGTAGACATTATGACGTAGGGATCCGCTAAGAAAGGATTTTGTTTAATTCTACCCCCAAGGGGATAAAATAGGGGTTGAAAGTTTGTATGAAACTTTGTCAATTTTGAACCGATCGGGCTGAGACTTTGCACGCATAAAGCTACTATGATGTAGGCGTCCTAAGAAAGGATTTTGATAAATTCCATCGCTAAGGGGATAAATTAACGCGGGCAAAAGCTAGTATTTAATATACTCCGAAGTAAATAATTCTTAGTCTTTCTTCTGAACAATTTCAGCCTTAATTTCGTTGCCATCGCGATCCAATGTCTTTATAACAAACAGACACTCCAATTTTATATGTATGTATAGATTTAAAAGTGTAATACTGATTATTCCTATCACTTGTACCAATCAAGCAACGAGCCGAAGCCTCGGCAGCGTCCTCAGATGAAGTTGATAAATGACACGGCGGCGATCCATCCAGTAATCTCCTGCGATGCGTTCCGTAATTTTTCACCTTTTTCTATCTTTTAATCCTGCGAGCGGCGCGTCACGCGTAATGAACGCTTCGTCTGACTACTTAATGAAGCGAACAGATCGACAGACTTGCCCGATCGATCGATACCCCGTCCAATTCAAACGGGGATTGAAATTACGACGGCCTGAGCCGAGGTTCGAACCCCTAGCGTGCCCTAAGACTAAAGTCGTATCCGTCAGGGCCTTCAGCCGCATCATAAATTCAAACGGGGATCGATATTACGATACCCTGAGCCGAGGTTCGAACCCCTAGCGTGCCCTCAGACTAAAGTCATATCCGTCAGGGGTTGGCCTTCAGCCGCATCATAAATTCAAACGGGGATCGATATTACGATACCCTGAGCCGAGGTTCGAACCCCTAGCGTGCCCTCAGACTAAAGTCGTATCCGTCAGGGGTTGGCCGCTCCATAACTCCTTCCATGGTTTGGAGTGCCACCTGCACTCCCCATCGTCCGATGAAGCTGTAAAGGCCAGCTGCGGACAACAGCATGAGAGTAGTCCGAAATAAAAAAACAAAACCATACCGAAGTGTTAAGAGTAGCTCAGTCAAACATATTTATTTTTTTAATTTTACTTTTTATTATGTGCCATTAAAAATACATTCAGCTATATATTTTCACCCATATATTTTCACACCTAAAGTCGTATCCATTAGGGGTTGTCGTTCAGCCGCATCATAAATTCAAATGGGGATCGATACCAACCTCTATTTTTAATAGTGATTTTAATTTATATGGCAACACAATGTTTGCGGGGCCAGCTAATTATACATATACTATCTTTTGCCCGCGGCTTCGCTCGCGTTAATTTATCCCCTTAGGTGTGGAATTTATCAAAATCCTTTCTTAGGGGATGCCTACGTCATAGTAGCGTTATGCATGCAAAGTCTCAGCCCGATTGGTTTAAAATTGACAAAGTTTCATATAAACTTTCATCCCCTATTTTATCCCTTTGGGGGTAGAATTAATCAAAATCCTTTCTTAGCGGATGCCTACGTCATAACATCTACCTGTATGCCAAATTTCAGCCCGATCCGTCCAGTGGTTTGGGCTGTGCATTGAAAGATCACTACGTCAGTCACCTTTGAGTTATATAATTTATATTCTACCCCCAAGGGGATAAAATAGGGGATGAAAGTTTGTATAAAACTTTGTCAATTTTAAATCGACCGGCTGAGACTTTGCATGCATAAAGCTAGTATGACGTGGGCATCCCCTAAGAATGGATTTTTATAAATTTCACCCCTAAGGGGATAAGTTAACGCGAGCGAAACCGCGGGCAAAAGCTTAGTTGCATTCCAATTTCAGCCCGATCCGTCCAGTGGTTTGGGCTGCGCGTTGATAGATCACTACGTCAGTCACCTTTGAGTTATATATATTTAGATAGTTAAATCACTTTTGTAGTAACTTACAATGCTATAATGGCCCACAAAATACGATATTCGTACTATTTCGGCTGGGTCATGACAAATCAGACCAATTTATTGGATAGATAGAGTTCTGGAAGCGTGTTTTTCCACTAATTCGTCTTGTTTCACGCCGTTGAGTTGTGACGAAAATGTAACGTAGCATTATTTCGATTATAGCATAGGAGACAAACGAGCTTGCGGCTTACCTGATAGTTAGCACTCATTTAGGTATACACTTACTTATATTTTATGTGTTTGTGTATGTAGAAGATAATCTCTGTAACCACTAAATATTTTATATATTTACTAGCTGTACACACGACTTCGACTGTGTGGAATTTAACTTTATTTTCTAAAATAAAAGTATTTGCTCTCAAAATAAGATTAGCCAGAATAAAAGACAGACAGACAGAAACATTGTAAAAATACTGTTTTAAACTTGATGCGGTCATTATTTATACGTATAATTAGTAAAAATCACGGGATCTTACCAAATTTATTTGCTGAAGTATTTCGGTAGTGTTTCAAAATGATCACGGGTAAACCAAGGGCAGCCTTTTCAGAGATATGCGTCTACCTTCACACGTCTTCGTTTGTTGCTAGAATAATATTCATCAGACAGACAGACATTTAATACACTTTTCGAAACATATCGAAATATCGGGAACTCAGCAAATAAATATAAAAAGATGTTTTTTATTTGTAAAAAATGTTATTTTGGTGTATGTACCATATTTATATTCATATGCATGTAGTTAAAAACGGTTATTTCAATATTTCAAACAGACACTCCAATTGTATTTATATGTATTGTATGAAAATAAACTGGACAGCTTACCTAATGGTAAGCAATGAGATTAGGTCTAGTCTATATACACACTATTAAAAATAAAGTAAAAGTAGCCCAAGTTACTCCTCAAAATCGGTCCAGAACCGTTTAAGAGATTAGCAAGAACAAACAGACAAAATTTTAAAAATTTCTTTTATGATCTAAATACCGTATATACTTTCATATGCATTTATTGAACGTCTATTAATTTTAAATTGCAAACAGCCACTTAATTTTAATTATTTGTATATGTTAACTGACATTCCATCATCATGTGACACTCTATTTTTTACCATAGACTGTATAAAAACTAAAAAAGTCTTTATTCTAAGTCTATGTAAAAGTAAAAGAAGACCTACCGATCTCGCCCAATTCTGAAAAAAAAGGATTCCCAATTCTAAACTATTTTAAGGTAAGCTCGAAATTTTTGTTTATCTATTTGATACCTTTTAACGATAAAACTGGTAAAGAAATTGAGATTATGTTGTATTACACAGAGATAAGTAGTTTTATATCAATAAACACAGACGAAGACGCGGGTAACAGCTAGTATTCTATAATAATTGAATTACATAATTTTTACAATAGCCGAACGGCACAGATTATCTTATTAATAAACGAAAAAGTTTGCGAGTATAAACTTCTCGCAAATACTACTGAATTTACTTTTTTTTTATTAATTTTATTTGTATGTCTCTTGTGTTTATTATATCTTTTTTTTATGATGATATTAACTACTTCAGCCGCGATTTGATACGGCTTATACTGAATTAACTAATTACTTGATGACTTTACAGTGTTATACTTAGCTTTTATACATCAAAATAACACATAGATTATAAATTTCATGTGAAACAGCAGGCACAGCTAGTATTATTATGAACTTGTCTAAAGCCATCCGACAATGAAAAATGTCTATGACAAATATAAAAAAAAATGTAGGTATATTCAAAAAAGGAATTATGTATTTAAATAGAAATAACGCCATCTATACGCAGAATGCTGTAATATCTAATCACATACATCTCGTTGCTAAAATTTCAATGTTGCAATTGTTTTTACCGTTGCCCACTAGATGTCACTAAAAATATTTTTACAATTACAAAAGAAATAAATACGACATAAGATTTTTTTATAGAGCTATTTATTATTATTTTGAATCTTATTAACAATTACATTTTGGCATCCCATTTACGTAATATTACATTAAAATATTGCAATTAAACGATTCTCAATAAATATTAACAAATGTTACTAATTATTAAAATTTTAGTAGGTATGTGTTCATGTAGCAGCGGCAGAGAAGGAGGTGGAATGATGAGTCCAGTGATTGATATTAACATTATGTATATTAATGAAATATTTACAAATGGTACCTATATATACAAGAGGATTCGTTATTTATTGTTCCTCGGAACTAGGCAACTGTGTTGCCACGCGATAATAATAAATTCGTCACAAAATCATTGTAATTATGTCATTAAATATAACAAATCAATAAACAAGCCAGTAAAAATAGAATATATTTGGCAGTTGATACAAAATCCTAATAGCTCTGAATTCATGACTTATTGGCTAAACATATAGTAAATAACCTCAAAAAAATCAACAACACTTAAAAATATGAAAAATGACAACATTATAAAGAAATATATATATATATTCATATATTTAAGTATTAACTAATATGTATAAAATATAATATAATCTATACATCTGTATATATAAATAGAATTGAAGTGTCTGTTTGTAATTTTTAAATAACCGTTTTGTACATGCATAAGAATATAAATACGGTAACACCAAAATAACATTTATTACAATTTTTGTCTGTCTGTCTGTCTGTTTGTTCTGCCAAATGGCTATAATTTTGAGTTTTTTTGGCAAGTAGCTGATGTCATAAGGAGTAACTTAGGCTACTTTTACTTTAGAAACATTCTTTTATTTTAGAAAAATATAGTTAAATTCCACGCGGACGAAGTCGCGAGTACAGCTAGTATACAATATACATCATCGATTAAACAGAAAATTGTCAATTTTCAAATATAAATTGCTTTTTATATATCAATAAATTACAAAATTATCTAAATATTTTAAAATGATATATAACAATAAAACTTTAAGGGAAAAAATAATTTAAATAAATAAAAAAAAAAACTTTAAATACTTGTCTTGTAAAAACAAAATACATTTTGAATAGTGCCTTTTTTCTATTTAACCAACGATATATATTATATATCCTACAGTTTCCTAGTTTCCTTTATCGTCCACGTGGTATATAAGTGGTTCTTCTATTGTCTGATCCTCAACCGCATCCAATGGCCTCCTTTGATCATGAGGTTCACTGACTGTCGGTCCAGCTCGGACGGTATACATGTCTTCTCATACGGCACCAGCTCCATATCACGTAGCAGCTGGTATAACATCACTTTGACTTCACACAGCGCGAATCTTGAACCTACATGAAATATATAATTTTAGTCTATATATTCTCTTAATTTGATCATTTATTGATTTCAAAGATAATATCTGTTTACATGCAGGGTCGGATCTACTTAAGGGCTTTTTGGGCTGCAGTTCAGGGCCTCGAGGGTACAAAGAGTCCCCCAGCCCCCACTGAAACGATGAGCCAGCCATCACTGCGCTCGTCCATATTTTAGGGAGCCCAATGACCCGGCCCACCACGCCGCCACATGTCTGGACATTTTAGTGAGCATACCTACTCATTCCACTCAACCACGTCAATGGTGATCAGTTATCCCATCTTGTCAAATGACAATTCACGATGGTTTCCAGGACTAAGTCCAGGATTTGTTACCTACATCATATGAAATTAAAATTCAAAATATCTTTATTCATGTAGGTTTATTACAGACTCTTATGATATGTCAAATCTACCGTCAGTTCGGAATGATTTCGAGATGAGAAGAACTGACAAGAAACTCAGCTCGTATTCTTTTCAAATAAATGTTGTACATGTTTACAATAATACTGATTCATTATAAATTCTAATTTGGGAGAATAGAGTGACCACCAGCATATGCTATTGCAAAAGCAAATAATTTAATTATAAATGTTTGTTAAAAACTAATTATAGATGGTTTTTTTTTGTAATTGTTCTACGTATGTATGTTTGTGTGTGTGTATGTGTGCATACATATATATATGTAAAATGTATCTATATCAAATGTGTAAATGTATGTTTATTAATAATAATAATAATCTCATGATAATTCACACAGCACCATCTAGACCCAAGTTAAGCTAACTAAAGCTTGTGTTATGGGTACTAGATAACTGATACATATATATAGATATTTTTTTTCGTAAATACATACATATTATACATAGAAAATACCCAGACCGATACAAACAATCATACTCATGAATATAAATGTTTGTGCCGTGCTAGGAATCGAACCCGCGACCATCGGACGTAAAGCGGTGTGCCAGACCGCTAGACCACCGAGGTCGTCAAAATGTTTATATCAATAATGGTTGTCAATAAATGTTTATCTTTCTTTCTTAATCAGTGTTCGTAACCTGAACAGACCAGTCCCCACAAGCGGCACCCGTTCACGAGTATAACGGATATATCGGGGTATAAGTCTTACCAATACAATTTCTGGGTCCAATTCCAAACGGCATGTATGTATAAGGTTTGATGTTGTGCTTGTTCTCTTCAGAGAACCTTTCAGGGTCGAACTTCTGAGGGTCTGGGAAGTAATTAGGGTCCCGATGAAAGGCCCACACAGGAATTTCTATACCCTCTCCTTCACGGATCTGCGTGAAACACAAGTGAATATTTACATTTATGTGTGTAAGATGGGGAATTGATACAGGACGAATCATCGAGATGATTGCAAAATCCACTAATAATGATGACGAGTTAGGCTTTGAAGCCGGAAACCCCAAGTAGATCCGTGACTTGTGACACATGTGTAGGTTTATGTTGATAAGAGTGAAATAATTAGATACTTATGTACTTATTTAATAATTTATATAAACAAAAGACGACATCTTTGACTGCCTAAACAAACCGGAAGTGAAGGTGAAAGAAATAATCACAGATAATATAAAAACAGAGAGCACAAAAGTTGTACAGAGTAGGTTACATTACGATACAAGTTAAAATATTCTAACAGTTTAAAAGGGCCTTTTAGAATGCATTAACACTCGCCATCACTATTTGCAGCATCCCCCCAGGCCCAACTAAGTCCGGGATAAACCCATTTCTAATAGAATAGAATAGAATAGAAAATCATTTATTCAAATAAACTTAATTTAAGCACTTTTGAATAGTCATAACAATTTGTTTTTTATCTACCACTCGTTCGGAAAGCTGTCTCATCACAAGAAGAACGAGCAAGAAACTTGTGTGTTGCTCTTTTAAATAATCCTTGTAAGTTTACATTTACAAGTCGAAACGTGTGAATACAAACTACCAACAAGCACTAATTTTTTGGGTCAAATATAATCATGCAATAAGATTAAATCAGTCGTAGTGATAAGAGCAGACCAGTCCCTACAAGCAGCACTCGTTCACGAGTATGACGGATGAGCCAGCCATCACTGCGCTCGACCATATTTTAGGGAGCCCATTGACCCGGCCCACCACGCCGCCACACGTCTGGACATTTTAGTGAGCATGACTACTCATTCCACACGACCACGTCACAGCTACAAAAATTACTATATGGTAGTTACAGTATTCGCACTTTACATAAGGATGCATGCGGCAATCAATACAAAAGCCGCTACGCTATCATATATCAAGAAAGCAGTATGAAAATTAAAATTATAACGTTGTCCGCAAATAAACTTATTCTTGCTATATATTGCTATCATCTATAAATTCATCTATCTTATAATAGGCTTTTTTACATAACATTTGTTTAATATAAGATTTGAATTGCCTCTCTGTAAGATTTAGCGTAGACTCTGGCAGTTTATTATAGAATCTTACGCAATTACCATAAAATGAATTACTAACTTTGTGTAGACGGCATTTAGGTAAAATTAGCTTATTTTTATTGCGTAAGTTTCTACTTGTACAGTCTTTAAGTTTCTTGAAACTATCTGTTTTTCCTTGTATACATAATATTTTCATAAATGTACTGTGAGGCAATGGTGAGGATATTTGATTGTTTAAAGCATTGACGTAATGACTCTCTAGAACCCATACCATAAATAGAACGTATGGCTCTCTTTTGTAAAATAAATATAGTATTTATATCGGCAGCTTTACCCCATAGCAGTATGCCATATGACATAATGCTATGGAAATAACTAAAATATACAAGTTTTGCCGTCGCCACGTCTGTTAATTGCCTTATCCTTCTAATTGCATAAGCAGCAGAACTAAGTCTACTGGCTAATTTTGAAATATGGGGCCCCCATTGTAACTTCGAGTCCACTGTTATTCCTAAAAAAACTGTATCATTAACAAAATTTACTATTTCATCATTAAGCAATAGCTGCGTATTTACTTGTTTTACATTAGGCAGCGTGAATTTAATGCACTTAGTTTTGTTGGAGTTCAATAATAGATTATTACATGTGAACCAATTTAGTATAGCAGAGATAGCATAATTTACATCGTCTAATTGATTACATTGGCGACCAATTTTAAACACTAACGAAGTATCATCCGCAAATAACACTATATCTGCAACTTTCTCTACCATGTAGGGAAGGTCATTTATATAAATTAAAAAGAGAAATGGGCCTAATATTGAACCTTGAGGAACGCCCATTTTTATATTAGTTCCCTTAGACTTTACACCATCAATATCTACAGTTTGCACCCTATCCTCTAGATAAGTTTTCATTAGACTTAGGTCATTATCTCTAATACCATAATATTTGAGCTTGTACAAAAGTGTTTCATGATCTACGCAATCAAACGCCTTCGACAAGTCACAAAAAACGCCGAGAGCAATTATTACTTACAATATTTGTAATAATCCTTACATTGGGTACTTCATTAGTACTGGGGGGAAGGGGATTATTAGTAATGTGGATTAATAACCCCATTGCTAGTAATGTACCATGTCAGGTCGACCTCCACGCGGTTCCCCCTGGAAACCGTCGTGTTAAATTCCTGATAAATTTGTCACGATGTGCTAACTGACCTGACCTCATGCTCATCTTATCATCCTCCACTGGTGCCCCGCCAGCGTAAACCGTTAGCGCAGGCGGGTGCACCATTCCATTATCATCCACAAAAAAAAACTCATTAGTACTAACCACAAACTACCTTTTTTTTAATATCTATTTAAAATATCGGATTTTTTCTACAATATTGATGTAAAGTCTAATATGTGCATTTAATGAATAGCTGTTCATTTGAAATTATGACCAATTTACACTCAGCCCGAGTGGGCAGGGAAGTGAGCAGTGCAAGAGTGTAAACACGAGTGTAAACACTTCCCATGCCATTGTCGCTGCCACTCGCGCTGCCCGGCGCTCCCTCGATTGTCGGTTTTTCGTGCGCGAGTCAAAGGACTGGCAGCGCGAGTGGCAGCGTGTTTTTACATTCAGCCCACGCTCAGTTGTCGCCCGGCAATATTTCCAGCAGCGCGAGTGGCAGGGGAAGCGGCTGAATGTAAACGTAGCATTACAAACTTCAATTTTATTTATGTGTGTACAGATGATACTTACTATAAAATCTTCTTTAGATTCGCTGTTGGGTTTGCCCAGGTTGTAGTCTTTGATACACTTTCTGTCCAAACCCACCGCTGGAGGCCACAGCCTGAGGGCCTCTGTAATAGAATACAAAATCCTTTATTTAATTTAAGCACTTTTGAATAGTCATAACATTCTTTTTAATCTACCGCTCATTCGGAAAGCTGTCTCATCACAAGAAGAACGAGCAAGAAACTTGTGTGTTGCTCTTTTAAATAATCCTTGTAAGTTTACATTTACAAGTCGAAACGTGTTAATATAAACTACCAACCAGCACTAATTTATTAGGGTCAAATATATCCACAATAAGATTAACCAATTAGTATACGACAGACCTTATCAGTCTAGCAGTTTATCACATTGCATTACTCCCCTCCGATCGATCCCCGTCCAATTCAAACGGGGTTCGAAATTACGACGGCCTGAGCCGAGGTTCAAACCCCTAGCAGTGCCCTAAAACTACAGTCGTATCCGTCAGGCGGGAGTTGGCCTTCAGCCGCTCTATAAGTCCTTCCTTTGGTTTGGAGTGCCATCTGCACTCGCCCCCTATCGTCCGGTAGCGCTATAAAGGCCAGCTGCAGCCAACAGCATTAGAGTAGTCCGAAAATAACGCTTTAGATTCTATGGTTGCGGGTTCGATTCCTCGAACGATACAAACATTTGTATTCATGAATATGATCGTTTGGAGTGGTCTTATCAAGCAAATTAAAGACAGAATTGGAGTCGTGTCGTATCAACGTTTAAAGAGCATGATGGAAGATTGTGGACAGTGGCAAGAGCTCCACCGACAATAACCTCGCTCTTAAATCATTAATGAATGAACTAACAAAAAACCGAAAGGGGATTGTTAGTACTGTGGATTTATCAATCCATCCCTCATCACTAGCAATGTACCATCAGCTTGGTTCCCCATGGAAACCATCATGTCAAATTCCTCGTGAATTTGTCACGATGGGCTAACTGACCTGACCTCATGTTCATCTTATCATCCTCCACTGGTGCCCCGCCAGCGTATACCGTTAGCGCAGGCGGGTGCACCATTCCATTATCGACCTTAAAAAAAAACTATAAAAAAACCATTTTAATCTATACATATAAATAAAATTGGAGTGTCTGTTTGTTATATTGAAATAACTGTTTTTTACTACATGCATATGACTATAAATACGGTACATACACCAAAATAACATTTTCTACAACTTTTGTCTTTCTGTCCGTCTGTTTGTCTGTTTGTTCCGGCTAACCTCTGGAAAGGTTGGACCGATTTTGATTGAAATGTTTTTTGGCATGTCCATATATGTAATAATAAGTAAATCAAATTTGGCTACTTTTATTTTCCTGTCAAAATAAATCTCCTCAAGTTTCTCCAAAACCCACGGGACGATAGTCAGTTCGTGCAGAGTAAACGCCATAGCTGATGATACGAACCAGCGACGAAGAACAAATTGAAATGTGTTTTATATACCAGACGTGAAAAAATTACGAATCAATCATATAGTCTAGCGGTCTAAATCCCCGCTTTACGACCGATGGTCGCGAGTTCAATATTCGCATTCTCTCAACATTTGTATTCACATCAATGATTGTTTGTAAAAAAATCCGATATTTTAAAAAGATATAAAAGATGTATGTATTTAGGAAAAAAAAAATATCTATGTATTTGTATCAGTTGTCTAGGATCCATAACACAAGCTTTAGCTAGCTTAACTTGGGTCTAGATGGCGCTGTGTGAATTGTCCTGAGATTATTATTATTATTATTATTATATACCTGAAACAACCATGTCCATATATGCCATATTCTGAATAGAGTCGAAATCAAATTTGCCACCAGTTTTCCTGTCATTCTCCCTGATCTCCTCCGCCAGTTTCTCCTGAACCTCAGGGTTTATAGTCAGTTCGTGCAGAGTAAACGCCATAGCTGATGATACGGTCTCAAAACCAGCGACGAAGAACAAAATGGCTTGAGCAATCAAATCGTTGTCTGACCAGACTGAAAAAAATTAAGTAATCAATACATATAGTTTTTGTTTAAAATCCCGTATAATTATTATCCGATAATAGTTTGTTCAATAATCCGATTCTCGCATGTGTTAGAGTTCACATCAATATCGTAGAAAAAAAATCCGATATTTTAAAAAGATATTAAAAGAAGGTACCCAATGTAAAGATTATTACAAATATTGTAAATAGCGCCATCTAGTATTTATAGATCGACCTACTACACTGACTTCGGTCTATAAATACGGAGGTTTTTGTAATTCGTGTTAATTACTAAACATTTTAATCGACCGCAGAGCGTCCGGTGTGTTTTGGATATTGTGTTTGTGAATTGTTGTAGAGACGGGTTTAGACACCGATAGCCGCCGCACTGCAACCTGCAAGTTGTGAAGGTGAGTGTTAATGCATTACTAAAACTGTCTTTCTTTGTGTTCCATCCTCACAAACAGTTCTCAATCACCGCTAACAGTGTATCGTGTCAATCCACGTAGCCGTCAGATTATTTAGATAAGTCGTCATCATAATAAAATCAAACAATATTTTTTTATTTGTAAAAAGTTACATACCTTTGTTTACTTCTCTCTTCCCGACCGCTGATTCTTCTGCTGTGGAGAAGCCAGCATCTGCCGTTGCCATTTCTTTATCGTGGGACAATTTTCCTGTGAACATAATAACATTTATATATTATAATTATACATATAATAATAACATATATTATATCTGTATACATATATTGATAAGTGATTTCATTAGGTACATTATAATAGTCTCAGGACACTAAAACAGTGCCATCTACACAGAAGTTAAGCTAGCTGAAGCTTGTGTAGCCGCCGGAGTTGCGATGGACTAACATTCGATCCCGCGACTCCGGCAATAGGCGCTTCGTCGGGATACCTTGGAGTTTTTAGTGAGTAGGAGTCTCACAGTACCCGTTTTACCTCCCCCGGGACTGGCGGGTCATCATGAGGGATATTCTCCAAGTAAAAAAAAAGCTAAAGCTTGTATTATGGGTACTAGATAACTGATACAAATACATAGATATTGTTTTCGTAAATACAGAAAACACCCAGACCGATACAAACAATCATACTCATGAACAAATGTTTGTGCAGTGCGAGGAATTGAACCCGTGATCATCGGAAGTAAGGTGTGCTAAACCGCTAGATCACCGAGGACGGCAAATGATGACCTGATATATATAATGTTACAGCATCTGAAATGATTACTCACCTTTTTTGGCCTCCATTAGCAGATGGATGAGGTCAGGCCTCACCACCCTGTTTTCCTCACGATCATTCATTGCATATTGTACGACGTTTTTGAAATAGTTAGCGTGGCTCTTTGAGAATAAACCAATTTTCAATTTCTACAAAAAACATTAATAATCATTAAATTCCAGATTGTCTATAAAAGATTGCTATAAGAATTGTTCTTTTATCATGTTTGTTCTACCATTTGCATTAAGAAAATAATAAAAATAGAGTACAATAGGCGAAAGAAAACGGCCTTACATATCGTTACATGTTCATGTGCAAATTGTTCCGCAAGGGTCTATTCTTGGCCCATTTCTATTTCTTATTAATATTGTTTCTGACCTCAGCTTAGGTTTAGGTTAGCTGAAAATTCAGTCAGATATAAAAAAATATGTTTGTCATATAAATCTTCTAGTCACCGTGCAAAGTGTTCTTCAAGGGTCAATTCTTGGCCCATTTCTATTTCTGACTCTTATTATTTCAGACCTCGGCTTAAAGACAGCAACATTCTATCAGATATCAAAAACCTTGTTTGTCATATTAATTTTCTAATGACAATGCAAATTGTTCTCCAGGGTCGATGCTTGGCCCATTTCTATTTCTTACTCTTAACGTTTCTTTGCTGTCTATAACCTGAGGTAACAGGTTATAAACATCAAAATTTAGTCTGATATCAAAAACATTGTTTGTCATATTAATTTTCTAATCATCGTGCAAAATTGTTCCTAAAAGGTCGATTCTTGATCCATTTCTATTTCTAATTCTTATCGTTTCCAGAGTTTAGAGAAACACGAACCCACTGGGGAACATGGGTTGAACAAAAAAAGAAAAATTCAACTAAAACATGCACTTACTTCCATAATTTTAGGGACAAACATGAATCCAAACATTTTTATTAATTGTTTAAACGTTATCTTTGTCAACCCTTTGCCTTTCAAGTAAAATTCGTTGTTTTGATCTGTATGAGAGTCTACTTTTAAACCAAAAGCACAGCTCGCGATGACATCGTTGGCGTATCTTGTGGCAAGATCTTTACTATCGACGTCCAGGTAACCTACTGATAAAGGAAAAATAATAAAAAACACTCAAAATACTGGCAACGCAGGCCCATCTATTATTAAATTACGAGGAACTTGTACTGCTTCTGTTTCTTTATTATCCCATTTATTTCTGGTCGGCGTAATATGTTTTTCTCTTCCATTCATCCTTCCAGTCGTCTCGTTATTTACTCCCTTTCTTACCATATCATCTTTTACACAGTCCATCCATCTCTTTTTCGGCATTAATTTTCCTCTACCTCTCCTTCAGGAACCTGACTTTAATTGTTGATTTCTATATGTATTGGTATGTATGTGTATATATTATTAAGTTATGTAAATATTGTGTATTATATGTTAATCATAATGTACCGCCCACATGAATCTCTGTTTGCTCTATGGTTGACTGGGAGAAAATGCCTCTAGGTGTTAAGTCTGCCATCTGCACCTTTATTTGTGTATCTGTGCATTAAAGTATAATAAATAATATATATATATATATATAAATACATTAAATACATAAATTCTTACCTCCCGACTCAGCGATTTTTTTATTCAACGTCTCAATCATTTGATTGCCCACATCTACCATGAAAGGTACCATAAAACGCATCTTGGAGCTGGTGAACGCTGGACTCAATGTTGAGCGCATGTCTTTCCAATCATTACCTATAAAAAATATTTTCCTTAATAATGATAATAACCCTCTCTTATGTTACTTTACATTCAGCCGCTTCCCCTGCCACTCGAGCGGCTGGAAATATTGCCGCGGTAGCGTCGACGGGAGTCGACGCGAGTGAGTGTCGTTTACACTCAGCCCTCATACTTATTTACCGGGCGACACTTCCTAACTGAGCGAGAGGGCTGAATGTAAACACACGCTGCCACTCGCGCTGCTCCAGTCCTTTGACTCGCGCACGAAAAACCGACACTCTAGGGAGCGCCGGGCAGCGCGGGTGCCAGCGCTTGGCAAATGTTTGTATTGGGCGAGGAACCGAACCTGCAACAATCGTACGGCAAGACGGTGTTCTGAGTGATATTATACTATTAGTTTTTTAAACAAAAATCTTTTTGTTTTCTTAAACAACACACTCAGACTGATAAACAATCATACTTATGAATACAAATGTTTATATTGTGCGGGAAATCGAGCCTGCAACAATCGTAAGGCAAAGTGTTACGTTTTTGTTTTTTATAAAAACAACATTTGTATTTCTAAATAAAAAGTTCACGATGATCGGTTCAGTAGTTTCTGCGTAAAAGCGTAACAAACATACCTACTTTCAGACTTTATAATAGCAATCGTAAGGATTTGTATTTTTACTATAAATAAAATATGTATCACCTTTCAACGAGATCAAACTACGTCCGAAAAACGCATCAGTTTTCTCGTTCAAGAATATTCTGTGGTCTAGAAAGTGTTCGAAATCCTTGATCCCTATCTTCTTGGCCAGTTCGATATCCCTTATCATGACGGTTGGGTGCACAAAATCGTATTTGCCGATAAACCTAAATAACAAAATCGTTTTATTGTTGCTAAGTTGTAGAAATAACATTATTATCATAATACTAGCTGCTAATTTTTATTGGATCGATTCGAATGGTGACTATTTCAAAATCAAAACAATATATGTCTGTATGTCTCTCTGTCAGTATCTGTCTTATTACAAAAAGATAAACCTGGTTTAGCACTAGTAATAAACCATTCACCAATGTATTCCTTATTACAAAATAAAGTTTATCTCTAAACCGTAATTCGTCTCTGGTCTAAAGTTAGACCTGCGATGCCCCTACTTTCACAGTGGTCTAAATGCAAAAAGTCAAACTCCATAATTAAGTATTGTAAGTTGTTGTTTTTTGAAAAATAGCTTAACTAAATTAAAAATATATTAACTAAAAATATATAAAAGCCGTCATTTGTTATTTTATTCACTTTTTTGACTTTGAAATGGTCACCATTCGAATCGATCCAATAAAAATATCTCGCCGTTCCTTTTCTCCGTGTACTTGTAATTTAATACTGATTTTCTGCCTAATGTACATAAATAAATATTATATATTAATGAAATAGTTATAATGAAGACATAGATAAATATTTTTTTTTACTTTCTACATTCTTCTTTGAAGTAATATTATTTGTTATCATTTCAGTATTCTTGTAAAACGGAACGCAATTGTAGACTGACAGAATTGAGTGACTGATTTCTGTGTATTATCTGTGGGGAATATATAATGAACGATTTAACTGTAGTACATGTACTAAGTACCAAGTAGTCCTCTGTTAGATCTGGATTCATAATAATGTTAGGTTTATTCCAAGTATTAACATTAGGAATGGTTTAAACCTCGACCATATAGACCACATTTCGTCCGAGTTTTAATAGAAATTTTGTAATAAGACCGTATATGTTTAAAACTAGCTTTTACCCGCGGCTTCGCTCGCGTTAATTTATTACTTTCATCCCCCATTTTATCCCTTTGGGGGTAGAATTAATCAAAATCATTTCTTAGCGGATGTCTACGTCATAACATCTACCTGCATGCCAAATTTCAGCCCGATCCGTCCAGTGGTTTTGGCTGTGCGTTGATAGATCACAATGTCAGTCACCTTTGAGTTATATATATTTAGGTTAAGATTATGTGTGAATACAAAATATATAATATTATTTATACGTAATGGAATTGTTACTAACACTTACCTTTCCCCTGGAAACGCATAGTAATTTCTTTCTATACTTTCAGTGAACAGATCAATACGGAACATAAGCCTGGCCATATTACCCAGTATAGGGAGCGGTTTGAAATGCTTGATGCCATGTTTACTGAACCTGGAGTACACCTGGTGGTAGTACAACCAGAGGGCAGCCAGGATCAACCCCACCCAGATTAGAAATAACATCGTCTGTAACATAAAGAGAATTGTGCGAAATTAATTAACGCTACAAACTTTATTAAAGAAAGAAAGAAAGAAAAGAAAGAAAAATATTTTATTCAGTGCAATGTAAAAAATACAATATAAACTTATATAGGCATAATGAAGGGATTTTAAATTATTTGATTTAAAATCCCTTCATTATTATGCCCGTTGATTAATGTAACGCAGCAGGCTACGCGCGTTTGTCGATTAACTCCATTGAATTCATGAGGGACCCACTTTTCAAGCCTTTTCACCTTCCCAATTTGCTAAAGGATTAAAACAGTTTTGTCACTAACACCGCAGCCTGCAGCTAACTCGGACGGGTTTGCGATGGATCCGCTTCCACAATAGCCTTCAATTCTTCATTATCAACCTTGGATTTCGGCCGCCCACGGAGATTGCTTTGCAGGTCGAAATTTCCAGAACGAAAACGTTAGAACCAAAAATGCACGTGTTTTCTTTTGCGAGACCACTGCCATACACATCATTAATACTTCGAGCCGTTTAGCACCGTGTAGCACTGGTGTAACACAGCGGAACTCGTACTCGTAAATAACGCGATATTTTAAGTTTTTCATTTTGTACGGTTCAGTAGTTTAGGAGTCCATCGCGGACAAACAACGTGACACGTAATTTTTATATATTCTATATTAATTCAGTAGATAAAAAAAAATTTATGACTATTTAAAAGTGCTTAAATTAAGTTTATTTTATTTATTTATTTATTCATTTATTTCAGGCAACTAGGCCCATATTATAAATACCTTAGAGACTAACATACATATAATATAATATTTAAAAACTAATTCAATGATATTGTCAGTGTGTTATTTGAATAAATGATTTTTTATTCTATTCTATTCTATTCTAATCTTTAACACTCACCGGTCGATATATTACACCACTATTACAAAACAATGACTGTAACAAAGACTGGCCGCATATTACAATGCGATTAGATAGCATTATCACACCTGTTTTTAAAATATAAACCATTAGCTGTGCCTGCGACTTCGTCCGCGTTTATAGTGACCTACTAACTATAGAAAAATATTTAATAATCTAATGCCCAATTTACACTCAGCCCGAGTGGGCAGGGAAGTGAGCAGCGCGAGAGTGTAAACACGAGTGGAAACACTTCCCATGCCATTGGCGCTGCCCCTCGCGCTGCCCGGCGCTCCCTCGCTTATCGGTTTTTCGTGCGCGAGTCAAAGGACTGGCAGCGTGTGTTTACATTCAGCCCTCTCGCTCAGTTGTCGCCCGGCAATATTTCCGGCAGCGCGAGTGGCAGGGGAAGCGGCTGAATGTAAACGTAGCATAAAGGTAACAATTTTGTCATACATTGAAATTTGTTGAGTTCAAGTGTTGTTGTTGTTGTTGTTCAAATGGAATACAGTGAAATACTTACATACGTTTATTATATATACATATCTACATAAATAATACACATAGAAATTACCCCAATACAAACAATCATACTCATGAATATAAATATTTGTACCGTGCAAGGAATCGAACCCGCGACCATCGAAAGTATGTGGTGTGCTAAACCACTAGGTCATCGCGGCTGTCGATATATTCTAATGAAATTCGTGATGAATTTGTCACGATGGGCTAACTGACCTGACCTCATACTCATCTTATCATCCTCCACTGGTGCCCTGTTAGCGCAGGCGGGTGCACGTTTCATTATCATTGATTTTGAAGTCATATTTTTTTATTCTACTACTCATTCGGAAGGCAGTCATCACAAGTACAAGATAGAAGAAACTTGGATGTTGCCCTTTTTGAATTGTTCACTTTTTTATGTTAATATAAGAAAACTAGCTGAACCGACAAACGTTGTTTTGCCTAAAAATAAAAAATATAAATTTAGGGGTGGACTACCCCTAACATTTAGGAGGATGAAAAATAGATGTTGGCCAATTCTCAGACCTACTCAATACGCTCACAAAACTCCATGAGAATGGCTCAAGCCGTTTCGGAAGAGTATGGGAACGAAAACTGTAACACGAGAATTTTATATATAAGATTAAGGCACTTACCTATCAGTTGACCTTACGTTTCTTCCTGACCAACTAAGCCACAATTACGGTCGATAGCGATAATGATATATACCTAATAAATGACAAAAAAATGTCCTACGTGAATTAATAATTTGTTTGACCTTCACCTTGACTATTCACTCGTTACAATAAAAAAATAACAGTAAAATTAACAGCTCTCAATTCCAAGTCCCACTAATAGTACACATTATAAAATTACGGGATATTTACTATAAAAATATTATTTATAAGCACTCGAAGCATAATTCGATGTTACTTAATAACCTCAAAATCATTTACTGAATTCAACTTCTAATAATTGTAAACAAACTTTATATTTATCATTTCAGCGCCCTCTATTGAATAGCGTCAGTATTACTTAGCAGATGTAATTCTAATGTTGTACAGGACAATCTGCTAGTAGTAAGTGAGTTACTTAGTATTTCTAGGATGTGCTCCTAGATGGCGCTAGCAACACTCTAATTCCGAAATATGTTTTTTCTTATTCTAGTTATCATATCCTTTAGTAAACTTACCGTAAATTCATTTGGTCTGGTTCCCAGAGAGCACCATGTACCGAATAGACAGATTATATTATTAGCAACATAAACTCTATTTCTCATTACTTTTATACGCGAAAATAAAAATCTGTTTACATATAATTATGAAGCATCGCTTCAGAACACTTCAGAAATTGAACGGAAAATGGAAAGAATTTAAAAATGTCTGTTCAAAAATCTCTTCCGATTGATTCCCCGTCCAATTCAAACGGAGATCGAAATTATGACGGCCTGAGCTATAGTTCGAACCCTTCAGACTAATGTCGTATCAGTCAGGTGGGAGTTGGCCTTCAGCCGCTCCATAAGTCCTTCCGCTGTAAAGGCCAGCTGCGGCCAACAGCATTAGAGTAGTCCGAACAAGGTCAAAGTAGTCAAGTGAAGATATGATCACACGGGTTTACAGTTGAAGATTTTCTTCAACTGTAAACCCGTGTGAACCCGGTACGCTCAACTAGTTTGTATTTAACATTGTCTATTACAACCTAGATGTAAATACATCACTCGCGAGTCACAATTTCACGCACGTCAAAAGTTGTGGTTTGAAAATTTCCCAAAGACAAACAAATATGTAGGTATAGTTGTATTATTATGGGTTATTCTGCATCCATACTGGGTTTTTACGTGCACCAGTTTGTAAAACCAAATTGGGATATTACATCTAAAATATTTTATTACAATCGCATATTAATATTATTACTAGTTATTTTGTTGGAGCAATCTTTTTACAGTGTTGATGAATTTCTTAGCAGTAAAAATTTTATAATTTCAAACACAATATAAATTGTTACTGAATAAATAAATATCAAATATAGTAATTTTAAGTAGCTGTGACGTGGTCGAGTGGAATGAGTAGTCATGCTCACTAAAATGTCCAGACTTGTGGCATCGTGGTGGGCCGGGTCATTGGGCTCCCTAAAATATGGTCGAGCGCAGTGATGGCTGGCTCATTCGTCATACTCGTGAACGGGTGCTGCTTGTAGGGACTGGTCTGCTCTTATCACTACGACTGATTCAATCTTATTGTATATTTATATTTGACCCAAAAATGAGTGCTGGTTGGTAGTTTGTATTCACACGTTTCGACTTGTAAATGTAAACTTACAAGGATTATTTAAAAGAGCAACACACAAGTTTCTTGCTCGTTCTTCTTGTGATGAGATAGTTTTGAGAACGAGCGGTAGATAAAAAAAAATTGTTATGACTATTCAAAAGTGCTTAATTTAAGTTTATTTGAATAAATGATTTTCTATTCTATTCAAATATGAAATTATTATTTGACAGACTCGGTAATAAACCGTTTTAGAGATTAGGAAGAACAATCAGACAGAAAAAAACTGGGCAAGTGATATACAGTGTTTAGAACGTAAAGTTTTTTTCAGTATTCCTTTTTTCGTCTTATTTGGATATCTAAATATATATAACTCGAAGGTGACTGACATAGTGATCTATCAACGCACAGCCCAAACCACTGAACGGATCGGGCTGAAATTTGGAATGCAGGTAGATGTTATGACGTAGGCATCCACTAAGGAAGTATTTTGATTAATTCTACCCCCAAAGGGATAAAATAGGGGATGAAAGTTTGTATGAAACTTTGTCAATTTTAAACCGATCAGGCTGAGACTTTGCATACATAAAGCTACAATGACGTAGGAATCCCCTATGAAAGGATTTTGAAAAATTCCGCCAAGGGGATAACTTAACGCGAGCGACGCCGAGGGCACAAGTTATTTTGTTTTATAAATGAATGCACTACAACCGCATAGGATGTGTAGTGCCGTTACCTCTTCTGCTTGGCAAAAAGACTAACATGTACAGAAAATAATAAAATATAAATAATATTGTCTTTGTGCCGCCTTGCCTGGCGGAATAATGGACATGGAGCTTTGATCGGATGGAGCTTTTAAAAAAAAAGTAATTCAATTAAATTTCTTGCCAGTTCTTCTTAATTGGAACTATATACTGAACTGAATGGTAAGGAAAACATTAAAATGTAAAAACTTTGACGTTAATAAGCGGCTAAATTATTTTTAAATTTGAATTTAGAGATATCCCTTCAGTAAATTTATAAGAGACTAACTGTTCCCGCAACTTTGTCCGCGTGGAAATTAACTTTATTTTTCTAAAATAAAAGCAGCCAAAGTTACTCCTTATTACATCAGCTACCTGCCAAAAAAGTCTGTACAAAATCGGTCCAGCCATTTCAGAGATTAGCCGGAACAAACAGACAGACAGCCAGACAGAAATTGTAAAAAATGTTATTTTGGTGTATGTTAACAGTTTTTTTACATATTCATATGCATGTAAAAAAACTGTTGTTTTAATATTACAAAATAGACATTTTAATTTTATTTATATGTATATATAATAACATTGAAGTTTGATTTTCATTGCTGTCTAGTTTCGGACAAACATCAGGTACCTACTATATTTTTAAGTAAGTATACTGGTACATTTGTAAAACACTCATTACATTTTTTGCGCAGTAAATGTACGTACCGGTTTGGTACTATAATAATAGGCCTATTACATTATCTACTGAGATGTATCTACAAATTGTAGAGACAATTTTCAAAATTACGTAGATATTTTTGTCTTTTAATCTCATAGTGTTAAGTACCTCTAAAAAGAATCCATTTATCGTATCTCCTCAGTTTCAAGACGCTCTCCTTGATGTGAAGCCAAATCTCGAGGTCCTTGGCGTTGATATATCCAGTGACGTTCAGTTTTGCTGTCATTTGGAGGAAAAAAAAAATAGCCTCAAAAAAGCTTGGTGTACTCAGTAGAGTGAGACGGTATTTCACGGCGGCCCATCGCTTGCAATTACACAAGGCGCAGATCCGACCGCAAATGGAATACTGTTCACATCTCTAGACGGGAGCACCACAATACCAGCTACTTCCATTTGACCGCATTCAGAACCGAGCAGCCAGATCATTGGTAATCAACGTAAATAAGACTGTACATAGGCTTTGCGCGATATTGCATCTTCATTTTCTAAATAAAAGTGTTCTGAGCATAAGTTGCTCCTTATTACATCAGCTACCTGCCAATAAATACCATTCCATTAAAATCGGTCCAGCCATTTCAGAGATTAGCCGGAACAAACAGCCAGACAGACAAAACTTGATAAAATGGTTTTTAAAAGGTGACAACGTACTGTACCGTATTTATATTAATCATGCATGTAGTGTTATAAAAAAAAACGTTTATTTCAATATTATTTTATATATGTAATCACTTCCTTTTATTTAAATCTGATCTAGATGTACAAATAATAACAGGAAGAATTGAAATAATAATTCAATAGAGAAGGACAATAGATAAAATATAGATAATTAGATAAATTATAGATTAAAAAAAACTTATTTTTACTTATCGATCTACTTATATATAGCAGCGCAGAACTGATCGTCGTTTTTTGGGAAGAATATCTTCAGCAGTATCTAAGGGAAATGATGATATCTATATATCTAATATTATCTTTCGAACATTTTAAACTAAAAAGTAAAAAAACCACGCGGTCAAAGTCGCGGATAACAGCTACCGAATAATAAAGTGGACTAACTGACCTGACCTCATGTTCAGGGACAAGGAATGTAGATTAAATAACTTGTAGGGAATCAAGAGAGATCATATGCGCGAAAGCGCACCTCCCGCGTTTCGGCCAGTATAACCGTAAGGTTGGAATGGCTATGGGTTGGTTGGAGGGTTTGGCGTCATGTTCATCTTATCCTTCACTGGTGCCAGCGAAAACCGTTGGCGCAGGTAGGTGTACCATTCCATTATCATCCTCAAAATATTATACATATAAATATAAATTGGACTCCATTATCCATTATCCACATTTAACCTCTCATCTAGGCTTTTGTGCATGTAGAGCCGAGACTCCTAAAGTAGCCACCCAAGCTCCCGCCAGAAGCCCAGAAGCCTCATGGTATCTTCACAGGCTTCACGGAACGAACTTTTTCGAAGATTTGCTTACGTTGTGTGGCCATTGTCAACAAAATTGCACCGGTCTACTATGTATAATCTAAGTATATAGATATAGAGAGTGACAGAGACACACTTCGCAAACGTTGTTTTGCCAAATACATTAAAATCGCTATTAAAAAATAGGTTTCTGTTAGAAAGGTAAAAATTTAATGTTTTATGTATGTATTTTTAACAACATAAAAAAATGACCAAAAAGTAAAAAACTATGTTAGACCATATGGTAAAATCCTAGTTTCTCAGACCTTGAATAAGAATATAAAATTTCATAAAAAGTCTAGTTTGACGAGATACCTAACATTGTGATACGAGAATTTTATATATAAGATGTAATCATATATAATAGTATGCGAGACTACGTCCGCGTGAAATTTTATTTTTTTCTTAAATAAAAGTGTTAATCTTCCATATTACATTATTTATTACCAATAAAATAAAAAATCGGTCCAGCCATATTCAGAGATTCACACATTACACACTTGATAAAATGATGTTTTGGTGTATGTACCGTATTTATATTCATATGC